GATGATGAGTAGGAATGACAGGTTGCTGCGTCCCCCAGAGAGAGTTTCCCTGAGAAATGACAAGGGTGGGAGCCAAGTCAGACTCTTCTCACTGATGTCGGAAAAGTCATGCTTAACACAGATCCATCAACTGTACCTTTTCCCTTCAAAGTGTGCTAGGTGTCTTACTCAAAGGGAAGCCCTCCTCTGGGAGTTCGCTGATGAGGGTTCTGTATCAAGCAAATGACCTTGGAGGCTGAGAAGACTCAGAGGCACAGACAGTCATCTGACATTTCTGCCAAGGCTTTGGGGACATCTGTGGCTCAGGGAAGGAAGGAGGCACCTGGCCTGACTCCTTGGCCCTCTGTGACTGTGTGGTTTGGATTGGACACTCCCGAAAGGCATGCAAAGTCAATTTTCTGGAGATGCTGATCTTTCCATGTTGTTGCCATCTGTGTCTGGGTCTCTGGGAAGAGGGATGTTTGGAGCCTTTAATGGACTCTGATTCTGAGCCCATCAGGGTGAGAGTAGGAAGAAAGGGATACCACCTTTCTCCTTCCCTCCTCTTCCTTCTGCATCTATTTTGGTGTTTCCTCTGTAAAGAGTCCTATAATAGATTCTTGGGAGAGGTGCCAGCAAATTATCTGATATAGGAGATTTACCAGGGAAGCCTGGGCAGTCAGGGACCTCCCTATCTCCGGGGACCTGATTCCGTGGAATCAGCTGAGAAGCACCAAGTCTGTGTAACAGCACTCGGCCACTTGCTTGGGTGAGCTGCAAACAAAATTGACTGTATGGATCCGAATCTGCTCGTTCATGCTTCACTTCTAGCTGCTGTCCCAGGCTTCAGGCCCTTCTTCTGTCTTGGAAGAATTCTGGGAATCCCTGGTAGGCAACTGCTTCCTGACTCCCACTCTGTTCATTTCACTGATACTGGTTAAGAACTTCTCAATCATCCCTGTGAACTGGGGATTTGGAAGACAGCAAAGTAAATCACGCAACTCACAGAGTTCACATTCTAGTTGGGGAAGACACATAACAAGCAAGATATATATATATATATATATATATATATATATATATATATATGTAATATTACTGAGAGGGGACTGAATGTTTTAAGAAAAATCCTACAGGAGAAGGAAAAACCAGAAGAATTTATGGGTGAGTCTGAGGTGTTGGAGGGACTTTATATCTACAGTAGGGAAGCAACAGGCTACCGTGGGGTCCTGAGCAGAGGATGAGGAGCAGGATGATTCCCTCCCAGATCTACTCAGGCCAAATCCTCCATGGTGAGTCAGGGAGACACAGGATAGGAGAAGGAGGCCTCCTGCCTTTGTGTCACACAGATCACTTGGACCTGACCTGTGACCCTCTGGCAAAGCACCCCTGTCACCTTATTTCTCTGTGTGACCCAGATCTGGGAGAACTGGGGTAGATTCCCCCAAATACTGTCCTCTAATGCCCTAACTCTACTGCTCTGAGGTCACTGTGGCCTACTAAGGCTCTGCTTAAATGAGGTCTCCCTGGGAGTCTGAGTCCTGGGTTTATGCTTCAGTTGGTCAAATGCACCCAAGTGGGTCTGAACTCCCAACAGGGGCCTCAGCCTAAGTCTGCTCCTAGCAGTGGATGAGATGTTCAAGGGTCTTCCAGTCACCACTACGTCCAGGCACCTCTGGGTTCCTGCAGAGTGCCCAGCCTAGGCACTTCTCTGAGTTCTCTTGGCCTGTCCTCCAGTGTGTCAAAGGTGGTCCCTTCCTGGACCACCAGCCATGTAGGTCTGCTCTCTTACTGAGAAGAAAGCTGAGTCAGAGACTGGCTAGGGAGACTGATTATCTGTAGACACAGAGCTTCTTCATCTGGGGTCCTGGATGTTATTTGTGTCTTTCAGAATTGAGGACTGAACTTAAGTGGTGGCAAAGGGATTATGGGCTTCCTGGGTCATAAGCTGCTAGCATTTATCAGGAGCTTACTATGTGCTAAGCTCTGTACATGGCCATTTCCACACTCATGAATGCTTTATGAAGGAATTCTGCTTAATATCATTACTGATCCATTTTTCTAGAGAAGAAAACTGAAACTTAGGATAAGGCGGAGTAAACCAGTAAGCGAGAAAGCAGGAGTATGGACCACAAGGTTCTGATTTGACACCCAACATTGGGGAAGAAAGAAACAAATGATTGGAGTCGGCCAAGTTAAGTCTCCTCACTGAGCCAACGGGAGTGAATGGAGCAGGGCTGACAAACTGCTTCTCAAAGCACCAGGCAGTAGGTATTTTCAGTTTCATGGATCCTGGGGTCTGTCATGCCTGCTCAACCTTCTTCTTATAGCTCTAATGCAGCTCTAAATGATATGAGCAAATGGGTATGTCTGTGTTTCAATAAAGCTTTATTTTCAAAAACACATGGTAGGCCATGGACCATAGTGTGCCATGCTGGGGCAGAGGAATGAAAATAGAATTCGGAGGAAACCAGACCTTTGTTCAGTGTCTTCAATGGATGTGATGAGCTTGGATTTGTCAGTGAATCTTTTCATCTTTGGTTGCCTCTTGTCTAATAACTAATTGTCATGCGTTCATTATTAACTCCTTTATTTTAAAATGGTGCATCAAGTCCCTCATTAGAGCCACATATTGTGCTAGAATAATTGAGAATACAACAGGACTAAGACAGATTCACTCCCGCCCATGGAGTCCATGCTTATGAGCACTAAGAGAGGTAGGGAAACCCTACATCACCTAACACGGTACTTGGCTCTTGGCAAAAATGCAATAAATGTTACTTCCTTCCCATTGTATTTCTCCTTAATTCATCATTGAGGACTCACTGGTTTCAAGTTATTATTTGTATCTATATGGAATAAAAAGCTAGGGACATGTGATGCTGAACTCAGGACTTCAATATGTTTGTAGTACATTATGATGCAGTACAGGCCTAATTGTGAATCATAATTTTTTCATTAACTGATCTCATTTTACTTGGTAATATCCATTTAGGCATTTGAGAGCTATAAAAGTACATTTCTTTTAAATATTACATGATTCAGTTGGTTCACTGATTTAGACTTTTACTACCCCCCCATTCCAAATGAGTGACTCATACATCTTTTTAGAGATAACAAGGACCTTCAAGACCATGCATGCCTGCACTTCCTTTTAAGCCGACCTCAAAGGGGAGAAGAATGAACAAGTGTGCCCCAGTTCTGGTGTTGGGTGGTGAGCAGGCATCCACTTGCCTGAGAACTCTGCTTCGTCTTGGAAAATGTGTGCATAACTTTGCATTTTATTCCTCTATATATCCTCATCTGCTTGATGTGTCTGTGTTTACTTTTAGGTCTTTAAGGAAGATTGGTAACCCACTTACTGTACCATGTTTGTCTTGTGAATTATTCACATACCAACTTGCTGTCACACAGAGGCAGTAAAGTTTAGTGGCAGGACCTTGGGAGATAGACTGCCCAGGGTTGAACAAGTTGCTTGTGCTTTCTGTGCCTCAGTTGCTTTATCTATGAAATGGACTTAACCTAAATGAGATGAGTTATTGGGTGGGAATGCTTAGAAGAGAAATGGGATCATGGGAAGAACAAGCAGTCAATTTCCCGAACCTTTGTCTCCAGGTCTCCTTTTCTTTCCAGATGGGCATTTAGCACAGTACCCCCCAAGGAAGTAGAAGTCTGTAGCTCTGATGCCCTGATCTTAAAGACCTAGGACCTTATCCACTTGCATGTATCCCCCCACCCCGTATCTTTGGGTGTGTAATACCTGCATCCCTGTAACCCATACAACAACTGACGGATACACCTGCCACACCTGCCTCTCTTGATTCTTACCTGCTCCTGCTTTCTTAGGTCTCTGTCTTGTTCAGATCTCTGGCTCCAACTCTAAGTTACCTCATGCACTTTTAAGCAGAGAAAGTGCTCTCCAGTGAACTAAGCATCTTCCCAGTGTCTCTGATTTCTGACCTTAATGGTTTACCTTGCAATCAATTAAAAAATCTCAGCCTAAAAGCTATGTTTGACAAGATTATTCCTTGTATAAAAGAGAGATTTAAATGACCTCCCTTGATGTAACACTGATTACCATTGATTGTGCACTCATTCTGAGATACATGCTGATTTAAGTGCTTTATGTACATTATCTGATGCAATCCTCACAGATTTTAGGGCTGAGGTTGAGGGTGTGTTATGATCCCCAATTACAGGTAGGGAAACTTCAGCTTAGGGAGGTTGAGTGTTTGCTGTGGTCACCTAGCCAGTGAGTGGGGAGTGGGATTTGAATCTATGACTGCATTAATCCAAAGTCTCTGCTCTTCACGTTAATGCCCTTTCTTAGTTTATGGGTTGCTTCTCAAAAACTGTGAGCTATCCTTGACCTGGGATGGCACTACCTCCTCATGTTTCATAACACAGGGGACCAAGGGACAGTGCCTGGCATGTATGGTGACAGGGGATGGCTTGGCTGTTGCCTGTGTATTGATCCCAGTAGGCAGAATCAGCAGCAGCTGGAGACTGTGGCTAGAGTAATCCCAGCTGTGTGCCTGCCACATGGTGGTACTAGGTAGCTATCAGTTGCACTTGATTTAGAGAGACAGATGGTTTAGGGGAGATTACAGCTACAGAGCCTGAGTGTGGGGCTAGCTCCAGAGAATGGAGTATAGGTTGAGGAAAGAGAAGCAGCATCCAGTTTAAGGATTCGGCCAATGTCTCTGGCAGGAAGACAGACAGGAAAGGAGAAGGCTCTGCCTTGACGTAAGGGGGCATCAGACTCATATCCATCAGCTTCCTGGCAGATGCTGCCAGGCACACAAGGTATCCCTTGTGTCTAGTGGTTGTTGGATGGATGAATGGAGAATACATGGGTGAATGAATCTTTAGGAAACATGAAAATCTCACCATCCTCTACCTGTTGATGAAGGGGCCAGACCAATTTACCTGGGAGACTGCCATAAAGAAGGGACAGCGGTTGTTTCGGCATAGGTAGGGCTGCACTCTGACCATTGTCCCCTTGTCCCTTCTCTCTGCAGAGGCTCCTGCCAAGCCCGAAGAGGCGGAGGCTGAGCCCTTCACAGACTCCTCACTGTTTGCGCACTGGGGCCAGGAGCTCAGCCCCGAAGGCCGGCGCGTGGCCCTGAAGCAGTTCCAGTACTACGGCTACAACGCGTACCTCAGTGACCGCCTGCCCCTCGATCGGCCCCTGCCAGACCTCAGACCCAGTGGGTGAGCAGAGTCAGTGAGCAGCCCTTGAGGACGTGTGTGTGGGGAGATGGGCTCTCGCCATGCTGGGGACAGAGTCAGGCTCAGGCACTGGACTCTGGGTCCCTTTCCTGCTTTAGCCAGGGTCTGTGGCCTTCGACTCAGTTTCTCTATCTGCTGAGTAGCAGCAGGGCACCCTTCCATTAGAGATTTTAAGGATTAATTATCTAATTCACTCCTTAAGGGTGCTAGAATCATCTGGCATTCCCTTTAATGTGTCATTTTAACCCAATTAGTTGCCTTTTTATGAACAATTTTTTTCTGTAAATTAGTTTTTTAAAGTACATCCATCTTCCAGGCTAACAAGTCATTACACCTGACAAAGAAGTCTGTCTTGACTTCTCTCTTTGTTACCCAAAGATGTTCCTTTAAGGTTCAGTTAGAATTTTTATTGCTCCTAATTATTAAAAATGTGGGCATGTACCACAGCTGAGAAAATCTCATTAATTTTTGTGAACTCCCCATATCTTCTTTTCCCCTTTTTCTCCTCATTTAAAAAAAATTTTTTTAAAGCTGCATACTGAGCTTCTGTCTAGAGTTTTAGGGTGAGATCCCTAAGCTATGTTCTTTTAGGGACAAGACTTCAATTCAATTCCTTTGGCATTTATTGAGCAACTGCTATAAGGTATATAATTGAGCATAGTTGTTCCTAGCCCAAGGAGACCTGGCTGGGTTGCAGGGATGAAAGAGCTGGGAATCTACAAAGGGAGAAAAGTGGGTGCATGCTCCTATAAAGACCATTAAATTCTTGTGATGTGCCAACATTATTAGGAGACAGCAGCAAGTCAGGGAGCAAAACAGACAGGAAGCACTGCCTTCACAGAGCTTGTTTTCTAGTTGGGTGGGAACAGGCAATGAACAAAGCAAGTCCAACAGCGTGGGTGTTTAATAGCAGTAAGTGTGATAGAACTGTGTATTTAGTGGGAGAGGCAGACAGAGTCCTCCTGGGGTAGGAATGGGAGTTGCCCGTATTTACAGTTGGTCATAGGAGGCCTCTGTCAGCTCTGCAAAGGTGACATGTGAGCGAAGACTTGGAGAACATGAATGTCTTAGCTACTTTCTCTGTTTGCTGAGACAAAATACCTGACACCCAAAATGAGGGAAGGAAAAGTTTATTTAGCTTACAATTTTTGGAGGTCTTAGTCCATACTCAGCTGCTCCAACGCAGGGTGGTGTGGCTAAGGGAAACCCTTTCATGGTGGCCACAAGTGACAAGAACCAAAAAGGACAAAAAAAAACTCCTTTTAGTTGTATGCCGGCTCCCTGCCCTGGGTGGGTGCAGCACTCACACCATCAATCCCAGCTCTAGACAATGAACCAATCACAAACGCTGGATGACTTCCAAAGTCATGATCCCCCATAATCGCATGAAGCTTTGGGGAACATTTAGACAAACCACAACAATGAAGCAACAAGGCATGCAGATATTTGGGGGAAACTGTCCAGGCAGAGGAACTGGCAAGCCTTCTCCTGAGGCACCAGCATACTTGGCATGTCTGAGGAAGAGGAAGGGGGCTTATGTGGCTGGAACAAAGTGGCAGTAGTTGGAGATGAGCTTAGGGGAACCATTGAGGTTCAAGTCAAATGAGACCATGGTTCTCAATTTAGCTTCATGTTCTACTCATCGAAAAACCTTTCTAAAAAAAAAAAATCCTAATGCCAATGCTGCACCCCAGACCAACTGCATGAGAGTTTCCAGGGTGGCTCCCAGGGCTGGTGTGCACCACTCTGTGTGGGTCCCATGTGCAGCCCAGGTTGAGAATTGCAGACAATGGCTCTGTAGGCCATAGGGAGGCCTGTGGCTTTTGCCCTGTGGGATGGGGATCCCTGTGAAGGGCTGATGCCAGTCAGTAGCATGTCAGATTGTCTTTCTCACAGGCACTATTGCTATTGTACTGCTAGGGTGGGGGAGGGAGAGAAGAAGCTGCTGCTGACCCAGGGAGAGGCCATGGGTGCTGTGGATGGGCAGTCACAGTCTGCCACGGGCAGGTCCTTTGGCTCCTGCAAAGTCTTTGCTGGTGACTTTGGTCAACACAAAGAGCCATGAATTTTGCTGGCATAAAACACAGGCCCAACTCAATGCATGAAATATATGTTTGCTCAAAATAAAAAGGAAAATAAAAAGGAAGCCATGGGAAGGTGGATCTTACATACAGGATCTTGCAACCTGTTAGAAACGTAACTGGTATTGACAAGGCTGGGTTGGTTGAGACTGGCTTTCCTGGTCAGGCTACAGTGATGTGCAGGGGAGATGGGCGAGGCCATGGTGCCTCCTTCCACTCTGAGCTGAGGAAGCCAAGGAACAAAAGTGTTGGGTCTGAGGTCACACAGTTGGGTAAGAAGCCCAGCTAAGACTATTCAGCTAAGACTATAGCAGGTGCCTGGGCATTACGTCATTATCATACCTGGATGCCAAGTCCTGGCCTTTCACTGTGCCCACATCTGTGTTTATTCTGAGAGCTGATGCAGTCTCCTCTTTGGCTTACCTTGAGAGAGATGCCCTGCTTCCTGCCTTTTAGTGGTGTGCTTGAGAAAGGAACTTTCAAGGATCCTGGGGTCAGAATTCTGTAGTTTTCCTCTGCACTGCTGGAAAGCAGCAGTGATCAGCATAAAAAGGTCTTCCTTCCACACAGAGCTTAACAAATTGAGGGTTTCTATACCTCCCTACAGGGCAGGGTGACTGCTGCCAGCCCCTTTCTTACCTAGACAGAACCACTGAATCTTCATGCAGCCAAAGAGAGCTGAGGACTCACTCATTCGTCATAGAGGGCTCTGTGCAAGTGACTTTAACTATGGCAACTTCTCTCTGCTCATGTACCAGGAAGGTCCAGTGCAGTTCTCTTTCTTCTCCCATGCCAGACACACAGGATCTCCCAGGATGGAGAGCCTTGGTGCACCACTTAAAGAAGTATGTGCTTGGGTAGAACAGTGCTTTCCTTTGCCTGCTAATTCCCATAACACATTCTTTCCTTGTAACAAGGCCATTGCTTTGCTCATCCTGGTTAGTTCATGTTGGAAACATCTTTCCAATGACTTTATTTCCATCCTATTTTAAATTACATTGGCAAATATTTATGCAGCATGAGCCATGTTTTCAGGCGTGTGTTTGGTTCTCTGTTTATATTACCTCTTTGACTCTTCACAGTAACTGGCTGAAGTAGTTTCCATTTTATAGAAGAGGAAACTGAGAGTCAGAGAGATTATATGAGCAGCCCAATGTCACTAGTGGCAGAGCTAGGATAGGGAGCCCCGCATTGTGCCAGTAGAACTCTGCATGTAACCATTGCCATAACCATACTGCCATGAGGTGTGATGCTTTAACATAACATTGAGTACTGACCAGTTTTGGAGTGATGACAGTCGGCTTTGACATTTTGAAGGAATTGTGTAAGTGAACAATAAGCTCATTGCCAAGCCTCAGGGTATTGTGCTAGGCATGACAGATGTCAGAATATGGACAGAAGTGGATGGGAGGGAGCTCCACATTTGCAGCAGTCTCCGAGGAGTCTTCCCATGTGGCCCTTGCTTCAGCTTGAGCTCCCGTGCCTCCTGCTGTCTCCTGTTTGTTCCAGCTCTCTTCCCCTAGTGAGCTGCTTGGATAATGCTCTTTGATCTTGGTGTTCCTGAAGTTGCTTCTCTACATTCTACCCCCACAGTTCTGTTTGACTTCATCCTGAGAGAGAAAGTGGTTGTTTAGAATCTTGCCCTTCTCACTTTTCCATCACCTCTGGCCAGTCCTTTACTTTGTCTCCATTCTGGGTGCTGAAAGATGTGTTTCAGTCTACCTTGTCATTTGGCTCAGGGAAACCACTCAGTATCCTAAACACAGGGCAAGACATACCAGAATGGAAAAAAAAAGGTTTGCTCATTTGGTTGCTAAGCTTCATTAAGTTCTTCTTCCAACAAACACTGAGCACTCATTGTGTGCCAGAAACCAGCAAAGCGTCCAACAGACCAAGCTCCTGGAGCCCACACTGAGATGGGCATCCAGACAGAGAGGTGGGAGGACAAAACAGGTGACCAGAAAACTTCCTAATGACCTCCTGGTGCCCTCAGGGAGGACTCTCTCTGGTAGGCTTCCAGCGAGGCAGGTGCCTGGGCATTACGTCATGACCTCTGTGGCTGGGGCAGCCTGGAGAGAGGCCTCTGCAGGAGCTCCCCTTTGGCAACTTTGGCTTTTCCTCCAAGGAAAAGAATGACATGGGAACTGGACAGAGAGATTTCCTCAACATCATCTGTAAAGAGAGAAGACAAGCTTTCTTTCCTAGTGGCCTCAGGGAAAATCAAGTTGCCACTCATCCTCCTGGCCACTCATTCTCCTGCACTTTTAACATTAGTCCATGGGCCCATGGACCACCCAAGGGAGAAAGGACTTCAGCAACATCTTCTGTGACCCCCGTGAGCCTCCTCCACGAGTGGACTTCACTCTGGGTAAAATGTGCTTGCTTCTTGGGTTACAAAGACCCTGGCCTTGGGGTTGAAGGGAAGAAATGCCACATCCTGGCCAAGCTGGACTTTTCCCTGCTTTCCTGTTCCCAAATGCAGGTTCCAAGCATTCTTTCTTTTTCCTCATGTTTCCTCTTTCTCCTTAATAGTTGGCTCCAAAGTAACCTACAAGGGGAAAACAGAAAGAAGATGTGTCCAGTCAGAACTGGGGTGTGGACCACAGAGGTATGCATGGTTATCAAGCTCATCCAACTGTGCATTTAGTATCTGTGTGTCTTACTGCATGCAAATGAAACATCAACTTTTTTAAAACAATGGTGTGAGAGACCAGGGAAATCCTTTGCCTGTGGAATGGGGAGAGAGGATGCAAGTGACATCTTCTGGGAAATTACTGAGAAGACGGTTGTAAGCTCTGCGGTTGAAGCAAGCCGGCTGACGTGAGGCAATGAGGGCAGTTGGGTTTCTGCCTCAGAGACAGAGGTGTCAGGAATGTGACACATCCATGCCCTAGTGCTATA